CTCTTCTCAAGCCCTGATGCAGTGCCTTGCTCCTCTATCCCTGCCATAGTTCAGTTCATATGCTGACAGGTTTTGGTTTGGGCAGTGCAGGCACATCTTCAAGGCCAGTGTTCATCTGTCTCAAGGAAGAAATTAGTTTCAATTCTACCGAGACAGAGTACCCACATAAGTGGATGGCAGGAAAACAGTAACAGAATTACTTCACAGACCCAAAACTGGTTGCCTGGCCCACCATCCTTATTATGGATTTGCTTTGGCTTTTCTCCTTCTCTCTGTGTTAGGTATTTGGAACTACTTTTCTTTATCCACTTACTGTTCTCATTTTTTAAAAAACTCTTACCACTCACTTTATTATCTATTTCTATCTAACAAAGTATCTTCCTTCACCTATTTGATTATGGCTTGAATTTACACCAAAACAAAATGAGGCCATAAGGGAGCCATGTAATGTGCACAGAAGAGGGCAGGTTTTTGGATACTGGTTCATTTGACAGCTCAGAGTCCTTGACTGCATTAAAGCAACAGAGGTGGCTCCACAGAGCAACTGGATGTACCTCAAAGATTACAGGTCTGGAAGAGAATGAAGGTGAGCCTTTCCTACTGGGCTTGGCCTTGTGCCAGGTTGCCCTAATGAGCACCAGCACATCTGTTTGTGTTGAAATGCATCTCATCAGAGGGAAAAAAGAGGGTTTAAGTTTTTCTCATCCAAATAAAAAACTTTGATTTTTTTTCAAGAGGTTACAAAATACTGCAAAAATTGTAGCTCACAGAAATACTATTTTCCATCCATCTTAATTTTATTTACTCTTTTGGCGTCTTCAGGGGATTTCTTGCCCTCTTGACTCCCAGTGCTATGAGTAGAGCTGTCCTTGTTTGGAATTATTTGTTGAGATGATAGTGTGTTATAGTGAGGTTTCCCAGTCTGTCACTGTTCCTGCCAGGATGGTTTACCCAGAGATGAGCAGTTTAATTAGTTTGCTTGAATGTAACAGGCAACTGCTGAGGATTGATTAGTCCTTCAGTCAGTGCCTTTTTCCTCAAAGCAAGGATTCAGGATTTCTGGTGTTCAGAAAGAGTTGTTTCCATAGCAGGTACCATGTCATAAGTTTGGATGTTTATTGTTTATTCTGTAGTTTGCTTCCCATTAGTTGTAAGTGTGGATACATAACTCTTCACAAATGCCTCAAGTCAGACTTAGAGAACAAAAAATATAAAGTTGTAAAAGACTTGTTAAGAACCAGAAAACCTTCAGCACAAAATGTTTTGGAAAAACATGACTGGTTAAAAGCTGGTGCTGTAAAGACATTGCAAGTAATTACAGTCCTATCATGCTGGAGTTAAACAGGCGCTGGCTTTCTGCTTGGTTAAAATGAAGGGGACAAAAATGCCAGCAGCTGGCACATGCCAGCAGAACAACTGCCAACAAAATTAAGTAGTTACTCTCACAGCATATTCCAGCCCAACACAAGCCTTAAAGGAATTTATTGCACTCTGGTAATTATTTATTCTCTGTCACTATCGGTGACTTTCCAACATAAAAATACCCGTATTGGAGTGCACTTGAGCTCTTTTTGCTTTTTTCCAAGTATTTGAACAGGATTTACTAGTAGTGATGATTATGTATGTTTGTCTCTGTTTACATACATCACTATGGTTTGTCTGTGTGCACCAAAAGTTACCCAGATGTTAAGACAGAAGAGAAGAGAGAGACACTGGGGGAAATCCCAGTACCAACAGCAAGGCAAGGCCGGGGTTACGCCCTATCAAGAGGGCCAGTTCAGCCTTGGTAATAGTTGGCTGAGAAAAGGAAGATGGGGAATGTCACAGTGTTTTGGTAAGTGGATTGGAGTCTGCTTGTATTTTAATAGTCTTATCACATTGCCACAAATATTTGATTCTGTAGCTGTTGTTTAGTTCTGCTTTTCCACTGAGATAGATGAGACCGCGTGCAAGAATTGAGTTCTTTGGTATTAGTTGTTTGCATTGTTCTGTATGTGCTTCAGTCAGCCAAGCACTCAGGCATTCTGCTAGTGTTCAGCACTACAGTGTTTTCCTGAGAGTAGCCAAGCCTTCTGATGTGCTGGAAGTCAGGCAGTCATGGAATTGTGACTTCTGCACCTGTGTCCAAAAAAAGAGTGCTCAGATTGAGTAGACCATGTCTGGGGTCTTAGCGGATAAAGAATCTGTTTCATTAGCTACAGCTTACAAGTCCATTTTAGGTTTTCTCTTTTAGGAGGAAAAAAAAACAACCCCAACCAAGACTTTCCTCATCCTATATATATATATATATTAGAGGGAAGTGTTTGTAGTAGTCTGACACTTTACTCCTTGTTAATAGCAATCCTTGGAGGGAATAAAAACCTTCTAAAGGAAGATCTTACTACTAGGGTTCTGTTAAAAAGGAAAAACATCCCAGATGACAGAACTAGGAATGTCTTTCCTGTATAGATTTTTCATAAGCAATTCATAATTTTATATTAGTGAAATCAGTTACATTACTTTTGTTACTTGTTTTGTGAGCTTCAAAGAGCTAAGCAGAAAGATAATGTTCTACTAATTATTCCATAAACTGTGATTTCTTTTTTTGGATGTTTGCTTTCCTTCAATGGGCATACAGCTTTTCTCATGGTGCTTAAGTACACTGCATTGCAGGCTGATGTTTTGATTTTTAAGGTGGTTGGTTAGGGGAGATATAGGAACAAAAATACGGATTTTATATGCTAATATAGTTTATAAAGCTAAATTTAAGCTTCCTCCATTGTTAGTATGTAAATAATTAAATATTTTATATACTGGAACACTTATTTTCTAACCACTCTTGCTTCACAAAAGTTACCAGGAAAAATGGTTTCGTAGAGGTCTAGGAATTTAGCTAGACACCTTCCTTGAATGTCAGCCTACACATTTTGGTTCCAAGAATATACATCACTTACACAGTGTGTTCTATCAGTGCTTCATCTGTGCTTTCATCTCTTGACAGCGACAGCCCAGCACCTTTTACATGGTGCACTTCAAAGTTAGGAAGTAACCATGCCCAGAGAGAACTTCTACAGGGTTGGTCAAGGCCAGTTTTCTATCCAGTCTGATTTACCTTATGGTAGCATGCTCATCTCTAGTAAGCCATTTC